AAAATAAAAAGTACCAACTCTTCTTTTAGATAATGCTTTCTAGAAGATAAAACCTTATTTGATGCTCACAGTGGATGGCCCTACATAACACAGTGAGTTTTATTATTATCCCCAGTTTTCAGATGAGAAAACTGAGGCTCAGAGTGAGTACCCCCAGATCACTCAGCTAGTTAAGTGGCAGAGTTGGGGGTTTCCTAACACAGTGTTCCTCAGTCTGCGTGACCCAGGTGAGCACACCTCACTCAGCTCATTTTCATCAGAGCTTGCCCTCTCCAAAATCTCCCAGCCAATGAAACACGCATAAGGCCCCCAGTCAGCTCTTTAAAATGTGATCGTCCCCCCCCACACACACACACACACACACACACCTGCAGATGGAAAACAGATGTGCCTTTGGTAAAAAAGAAAACAGGAGCCGCCAGGAAATGCAAGCTGCAACCCAGCGGGGCTTCCAGAGGCACAACCTGATGGATCTCTGATCCATGAAAGACAGATATTCCTTCCCATCACAGGAGAATTCTTTTGCAACTGTGTCCCAGCATCCCGGTGGTGCTGCCTGGGACCCCACTGTGTGCAGGGCTGATCCCGGGCCTAGGCTGCTGGCTCCATGGGAAGGAGAATCCAGCCTTAACTACCCCTGGGATATGGGCTGGGAGCTGGGCATGTAAACACTGCTTGAGGCGTGTGTTTGTCTGCAAGTAGCTGTCAGGTCAGAGAGAGCCTGTGAGGACGTCTCTCACCCACGTCAGGGAAGAGAGACCCACATTCTAGGCCTAGCTCCACTACTGACCGGCTGTGGGGCCTGGAGCAAATTTCTCCCATCCCTGAGCCTCAGGGTCCTCACAGTGAGGTTGGACTTGATGAATCCCAGGCCACTGGTGTGCTACGTCATCTCGTACCAGCTCGTGGCCGCTGTGGGAATCCCTGTCCTACTCCATCTTCATGTTAGTAGAAGCTGAAATGGACCATTGTGGAAATACATAAGCCATGGAAATTGGCAAACACTACAAATCAGAGCTTATTTTTTGCTTTGGTGAGCCGGTTGTTTAGCATTTCCTTGGTGCGCTATTAATGTAACACTCCCCCCCCTCCAAAAAAAAAATGATGCTCTTGGGAGCAAAGTAAAAATTCAGTCAGCTCTAAATCAATGCATGAGTTATAGGTGAATTCCAAACGGCACAGGCACGGCTTTGTTTCACAATCATGCTGCCAGACTCACCTTGTACCCTGTCATAAATCAAACAAGAAAAGAACCTCCTATATGCCAGGATTATAATAATCAAATTATAAACATGAAAAACAACTCCAAGCACAAAATAATCTTTTCCTGAGAACTCTTTAGTCATGTCACAGGCTCGTAAAGGTTTATGGGAAGGCTTTCTCCAAAACTGACTAATTCTGTGCAGGGAAGACACAGGAACCTTGAAACAAATGATCAGAGGGTCTCAGAACACAGGCTGGAAAAAGAATGGATGATCTTCTTTAGTGGGTGTTTCCATGGGAGCACATGTAAACATGTCATAGCATCGTCACCAGAGAAATTCTGGTCATGATGGAGAAGTGGGAATAATATGTGGTGAATTAAAAAAAAAAAAAGACCAAAAAACCCTTAGAATGCAATGTCTGTTTTTTATGTCAGTTCACACATGACTAGAAATGGAGGTTCAGAGATGGAAAACAATTAACCCAAGGTCACACAGCTAGTAAGTAGTGCGCTGGGACTAATATTGTGCGTCTGTCTGACTCTGCTTTTCAGTGCTTTGTGTTACTAACCCCTTCAGCCTATTCATTTTACAGGTGGGAAAACTGAGGCCACTTGAGAAAGCAGGACATAGGTGTCAGTAATAGCTTATCTTTCCATAGCACTTTATGGAGTCAAATCACTTTCATATTCTTTTTCTCATTTTTTAAATTTTATTGGGGAACAGTGTGTTTTTCCAGGACCCATCAGCTCCAAGTCAAGTAAGTAGTTGTTTCAATCTAGTTGTGGAGGGCATAACCAGTGGCCCATGTGGGGATTGAACCGGCAGCCTTAGGGTTATGAGCACTGTGCTCTAACCAACTGAGCTAACCGGCCACCCCTTTTTCTCATTTTATTCTCTCAAAACTCTGACAGGCCATCAGGGCCAGTGTTGCTGGCCCCATTTTGCAGACATAGAAACTGAGTGTGGCTGGGAAGGCAGGCCACAGGCATACAGTTCCCTGGAAAACCAAACAAGGATGAGTGGAAATGTGGAGACACACAAGTCCACCCAGAGCTCACTGAGGCAGTGCTGTTTGTGCTTCTTGGGGTGTGACCAGCACCCTGTGAGGGCCCTGGGCATGGCAGTGGGAAATAATTCGTGGGAAAATAATTCCTCCGGAGTGGCTGTGAAATTCAACCTTGAGCTCCCACCTTTTTTGGAAGCTTTTACACCCTTTCTTTTACTTAGATCTTCCTGCTCCCCACTGGAATCCAGAAAACCAGATTTGAGGGACAGAGTGGTTATAAAATGTTTTAGTGAGTGAGTGAATGAATGAGCAAGTGCGCCATGGTCTAGCTGTTCTGACCACCAACTGGGAGCACTTTCTATTGGGATTTGCAGCTCACGTTGTGTAGAAGTTAGGATATAGCTTAGACTGCTGTTAACACACACACACACACACACACACACACAACCAATGATTTAAACAAAACTGAATTTATTTCACTCTCATGTACCAGTGTAGGCTGGTATGACACCTCTCCTGTACAAGATCCTCAGAGACCCGAGCTTCTCTCTTATTACTCCACCATCCCCAGGGTTTTCTCCATCCATATGCTCCTCCCCTGTAAGGGCACGACCTGGAAGCTGAACACATCACGTCCTCCTCGAATCCCGTTAGCCAGAACTTAGATATATGGCCACATCTAGCTGCAAGGGATGCTGAGAAGTGTGGTCTTTATTTTGGGTGATCATGTCCCAGCTTACAGTCAGTTCTGTTGCTGTGAAAATAAAGAGAGATCGGACAATGCGGGAGGAGCGGGAAAGTAGTCTCCAGCATTCATTCCAGGCTAGAATGAGGCTGAGCAGCCAAAGAACACAACACCCTCCTTGGAGGGTTGTCCATGAATGATAGTCCCTGGCACGGCTACTGGCCTTAAATAAACTGCCCCGAGGGCTGGGACCAGCTCTGGCGCACTTCCTTTGGCTCCCTGTGTGCACAGCCCCACACCAGTGCCCACTTGTCATAGCTGCCACTTACCAAACACGTACCAGCCACTGCCCTAAGCA